GGTGGGGTGGCTTGGTGATAGACATTGGGGAGGGTATGTGCTATGGTGAGCGCTGTGGATTGTGCAAGACTGCTGAATCACAGATCTGTACTTCTGAAACAAATAATGCAATATATGTTAAGAAAAAAAAAGGAAGATAGCAGGAGGGGAAGAATGAATGGGAATAAGTTGGAGGGGGAGATGAACCATGAGAGACGATGGACTCTGAAAAAGAAACTGAGGGTTCTAGAGGGGAGGGGGATGGGGGGATGGGTTAGCCTGGTGATGGGTATTAAAGAGGGCACGTTCTGCATGGAGCACTGCGTGTTATGCACAAACGATGAATCATGGAACACTACATCAAAAACTAATGATGTAATATATGGTGATTAATGTAACAATAAAAAAATTTAAAAAATGTTGAAAACCAAATCTAATGTCCAGATAGTTAAGTCCAAGTAATACAATGGAGAGTAAAATAAATTAAATGACACCATGAGGAAGTAATCAGTCAAATCCAGAGTATGGGATATCCTATAGGACAAAGAGCTTCATTTCTTCAACAAATCAATTGCATGGGGCGGGGGAAGCCAAGGCAGCAAAGGTAAGGGGATTGTTCTAGTTTAAAGGAGGCTTAAGAGACTTTAAAAAAAAAAAAAAAAAGAAATGCCTGGACCCTATGTGAATCTTGACTTGGACAAACCAACAATTAAGAAAGTTGGAGGGTAATCGGGGGAAATTTGACTATGAAATGGGAATTAGATGATATTGAAGAATTACTGAAACATTTTTGGTTGTGATAATGGCATTGTGGCTATACAGGTAAACGTCCTTGTTTAGGAGGAATCATACTTTAGTGCATAGGAGGGAAATGTCATGCTGCTTTAGACTCACTGCTTGAGATCAGTAAAACAGAAACCAACCAATCTCAAAAAGTATCAATGAAGCAAGTATGAAAAGATATTAATAACTTAATTCTAGCTGACAGTTGTATAGGCATGACTATACCATTCTACTTTTAACATGTTTGAAATTTTTCATAACAGAAAAGTAAAACAAATTATCTGAGCAAATAATTTATTAGTTCTTTCAACATATTAGCTTTTTCAGATTTCCAAACTGTAATTCCTAATCTACAAAACCCATCACACGGTACCTACATATATACACATACAGATCCATGTGCTTCTGTGGAACATTAACACCAAAACCTGACCAAAAAAGCATTTTAAAAAACTATGGATACATTTTGCTTAAGAAAATAGGCAGAAAAATTTCTGAAGAACTACTAATAAATCAAATGCTATAGTATATTAAAATAGTCACCCAGAGGAGCACTCTAAAGAATAAAGGTTTCTAGCATACACAACTGTATATACACTATAACTACAATTTTGTAATATGTACTCATATAAGCTAACAAAAAGACCAAAAGGAAATACATCAAAATGTTAATGTCATTATCTCTACACTGGGATTACAAGTAGTCTTTGCTTATTGTTTATTTACTGTTTTTTGTAATATACATTTCATTTACATCAAAACAGAAAAATGAGATATGTGTGTCTAAACTTTTTGAATTTATTATTAGAATCACTTTCTATATGCCATAGAGCCACCTGCTCATGTGATTAAGCAGCTGGTCAGAATGATCTTTTGTTAAACATTAAGTTACCAATATACTTTTAAGGCAAATGTGATAGATAAATGAGACCATATAAGTTTAATGCACCAAATAAAACTTCTTAAAATCTGCCAAGATTGAAGCCATTTATAAAACTAAAACCATAAATAAATATACATGTGTATACAAATACATATGTTAAAAAAAGAATGGAGAAAAAAGTCAAACATACATTTCTGTTAAGTGAAATAATTTTAATTACAATAATTTCTGAGAAATGCTAATCACATATGGCCAATTATCATTTGCATAGCTACTAGGAAATTAACTTAATTCTATTTGATAACGCTAAACTGTTCATATATGCTCAGGTTTCTATTGTTAACATAGTAACACTGATAACTTAGAACATCAATAAGCACAAAGAAAGAAAGAAAAGCATCCCTTCAAAAAATATAGAGCACATAGTCTTTATCAAAGAAAATTACCTAACTTCTCTGTTCCCTCCTAGACATTCACATTTTACTCCTTCAAAAACCTAAGTTCTACTGGCAAGAAAAGAGCTATATCAGGTGCATATTTTACTTGACAGAAGTCAACCATGCTTGTTTGACCCAGGAGGAGAGGGGTTTTAAAAACAATAAAAGGATGTCTATACTTTGAGGATACAAATTAATAAAAAAAAAAAAATAAGTCTTATTGAAGTGAAGAAAGTGTGGCCTCTTAGTCTATACTTAAAGTTACAGGTACTTACATATAAGTACTTAGTTTAGGTATCTCTGTTTTTAAAAAGAATTAGGCTTTTATTAGTATATTTTACTTTTTACTAAACATTAATTTGATTTCTATTAATTAAAGGGGATTTTAGGGGGAAAAAAACATACCCAACATCTTTCCCTGAAATGTCTAAAGCTATGCTATTTCTATTTAACATAATTTCTCTCCCATATAAAGATGACAACATGGATGGTGGACTTTTAACTACTGTATATGGGGCCCATGGGGTGATACCTAAAAAGAATGACACATTATCATCAGTCCTTTCCAAACCAAACACACAATGAGTCACATATACAGAATTAGTCACATGTGTAAGATATTGATGGCTATAAAAGGATTTTTAAAATTCTAGAATATTACACCTATTGGGATTTAGTTTCTTATCAGCCCTGGAGATTGGGCATCATGGAAAGGCAAAGTAGTCTCCTATTTCACATTTAGTACAATGGGTCAACAAAAGCCTCACAGACAAATATTTAAAGTACCAAGCCTTCAAAGAAATTCCAGCCTGGTCTGCAACAAATATTTATGGCACATTTTAGATCTCTACTTTTATAAATACAGACTGAACGTCCCACCCTGTAAACACTCCGCAAGCACAGTGTCAGGTTTCCATTGGGAATCCCCAGCAGATGGCTGTGAGGGTCACCTTACCTGAGAGGGCATCCTGGGCTTCAAAGAAAGTACTCAGACCTCCTTTCACACATGCCAGGTTGCCTTCACTTTTCTTGTTAGCCTGTCTCTTCAGGTTGGTAACTGCCATCTTGAGCTGTTCAAAACTGAAATGAAATTAAGAAACCAAAAGTTTGAGACTCCTAAAAAGCAAAAAAGAATTAAGATAATGCATTAAATGTAAAATACTGAAGCCTAAGTTAAGAAAGACACAGATTAATATAATATGTAGCCAGATGAAAACAAAAAACTTTCAAATTCTTACCTACATCTAAACCTTTCATTTATTACAAATGACAAAATTATAGCAACTATAGAACAGATTTGTAGCCCTACTATGGTCATTCCAAATATGTCAGACCCCTAAGAAGTAAATATACATGTGGGTATTTCTACAAGCAATATATATCATGTGTTGATATGCCAGGTAAGGAGTCTTGAATATCAACTCCCTGATGGGCAGAACTAGATCAATGCAGTGGTTATCAAGTTATCTAACACAGAACTCCTCTGTAAGTTCATTTCTGTATTCTGTATATAAATTAAGCATACCATTATTCACCACATCAATATCCAGTCCTCTGTCATTAACAGTGAAATTACAGGAAAACTTGGGGGTCAAGGGGCGCTTGGGTGGCTCAGTTGGTTAAACATCTCTCTTCAGCTCAGGTCATGATCCTGGAGTCCCGGGGCCGAGCCCCACATCAGGCTCCCGGCTCGGCGGGGAATCTGCTTCTTCCTCTTCCTCTACCCCTCCCCTTGCTCCTGCTCTCTCTCACTCGCTCTCTCTCAAATAAATAAATCAAATCTTAAAAAAAAAAAAACAACTTGGGGGTCAACTCACAACTTAAATAAAAGACCAAAATATTTCATCTCTACATCTCAAGCAGAGAAAAACAGGTAGGCCTCTATATTTCAGAAGTTTTATTTCCAGGTAGGCTAAGAAAATCTGGCTATAAAACTTTGAATATATTCTTCATATATGCTCTTCTTCAGTGCCATGATAGCCCTACACAGAAACCAGAGATCAATTCTGACTTATAGTAATAGAAAAAGCACATCCATAATGTAAAAATTAGAACCATCTTCTGCAATGAAAGATTTGACATTTATTTAAAAAATTTATTAGGATTAGGGCACCTGGGTGGCTCAGTCACTGAAGTGTCCAACTCCTGATTTCGGCTAAGGTCAAGATCTCAGGGTTGTAAGATAGAACCCTGCCTCAGACTCCACGTTCAGCGGGGAGTCTGCTCAAGATTCTCTCTCTTCTCCCTCTGCCCCACCCCCACCCCATGCCCCTCCCCCACGCATGCGCACACATGTGTACGTGCTCTAAAAATAAATCAATCTTAAAAACTTATCAGGATTTTCTCTCTCTCTCTCTCTCTCATAGAGAGACTCTTCTTCGTGTTTTCTAATGGTTTTCATTCTGACTGGTGAAGGAAAAATTTCTCCTAAGGTAGATTTTAACAAGTTGACTTTTTAAGAATGTAAATTTTAAGCAATAAACCATTCCTTTATTCAAACACTGTTACTAAATGTAGGTGTAGGGCTATCATGGCACTGAAGAAGAGCAGACAAAAGGGAGCACTTCAATTTGGATATATGACCTTGACTATTTTTTGGCTAATTTTAAGGCAAGCTTTTGCAAAATGAGAAATCAACTCATCTCCCTTTGTTCTAGGGAAGGAGGTATGTTGCCAATTTACACCAGGACTTGAAAGTTCTATTATTTGAAAAGAGAGAGGTCATGTTTAGACACATCGGTTTAGGTACCCAGCTGAGACTCCACAAAGTTTTAATGTGTTGCACAAATATGAATCATATAGAAACAGTAAGATAGCAGGAAATAAGAATTTGCTAATAATACCATTTCATAAATAAGGGAAAAGACACTCTGAGATATTCATGATCTCACCCAAAGTCAAAGGACTCCTACCTAAGTGGCAGAGGCAGACCTAAAACCCACATTATTATATAAGCCTATTAGGTACATCCACATGAAACCATGCACAGTCAGTAGTCCAACATCCACTGACCTGGTGGTTGAGTGGTTTTCTATAAGATACCAGGCAGCTGAAAAATTCTCACTTGTAAAATCAGCACTCATTCCAGGAAACAGCATTTCTAAGTTCTTCTGGGGAAACTTACTTCTAAGGGAGAAAAAAGGTTTAAAATATACTTCAAATGCTATTACTACAATAATGCAACAGACATCCTGGAGTACCCAGGATAATAAGCATGACTATAAACCATTACAATTATACATCAAACATTACAGAGTCTATGTTTCCATGTGTAGACAAAAGATATTTCCTACACTGCAGCTGATTTATCATATAAACTTTGTATATATAAGAAATTAAAATACAGAAATTATACCAATATAGAGTTTAAAGTTTATGATATCTATCCAAATATACAATCATTCTCTATACAATGGATAAAAACCAAAATTTGTATACACTGAAATTTAAGAACATTAGTTTGTTAAAATGGTTTTTCTTAAAGACTTACATAAAAGTTGTTTTAAAAATACTAATACCTACTGATAAAAATTAGAGCTAACTATAAAATACTCATATTTACCTGTCTATATCTAGAATAATTTTAAGAAAAGCTTGTAACAGGCAATACCTTACCAGCAGCTCACTTTCTTGCCTACATTTTTATGACCAACTTGTGGATCATTTCATTTATTTCTTTGTTCAAATAATAATTAAATACTACTACAGTTCAAGCTCCATGATGGAAGTTAGACAGCTGTGTCTAAGAGCAAAAGTAACATGGGCAAACCCTGTTATGGGCTTATGAGCTAGCAGCCCTCACCATATCCCTATCTCCATCTGTGCAGGATGAAGTCCAAGTTCTGTAGTCAAGTCTCTCCGTGATTCGAACCTGTTTATCTCTCAGGACTCGTTCCTGCTACTCTAATCCTTAAAACTAAAGCTTTAGCAACCTCAAAGGGATTATACTTTCCTGCACACACCATGTTAATTTTTACTTCGTTCCTCTGATCTTGTTGTCCCCTCTGACTGAAATGCGTTCCCCAGTCCCATACATTGGATACCCCAAACTCATGGGGTATGGACAGGACACAGCACTGTTTTATAGCCCAGTGTATTTGGGGTAAGGTTGGGGGGAGTGGGGATTATCACCACCCGGAAAGAAAATGTGGGCAGGTCCAATGACTTCTACTCACTCTCATCTGAGAGAGAGTTGATGTCACATTACTACAAACACAGCCTCAATTCAGATATTAAGCAGTGAGGATGGTGGGAATGCAAACTGGAGCAGCCACTCTGGAAAACAGTATGGAGGTTTCTCAAAAAGTTAAAAATAGAACTACCTATGACACAGCAACTCCACTACTAGGTATTTACCCAACGGATACAAAAATGCTGATAGAAGGGGCACATGCATCCCAATGTTTATAGCAGCATTATCAAGAGTAGCCAAACTATAGAGAGAGCCCAAATATCCATCAACTGAGGAATGGATAAAGAAGATGCGGTATATGTACACAATGGATTATTACTCAGCCTTCAAAAAGATGAAATCTTACCATTTGCAATGACACGGATGGAGCTAGAGAATGTTATGCTAAGCGAAGTAAGTCAGAGAAAGACAAATACCATATGATTTCACTTATATGTGAAATTTAAGAAACAAAACAGATAAACATAGAGGAAGGGAAGGAAAAATAAAATAATATAAAAACAGAGAGGGAAGCAAACCATAAAAGACTCTTAACTATAGAGAACAAACAGGGTTGCTGGGGGGGGGGGTGGGTGGAGGGATGGGCTAAATGGGTGATGGGCACTAAGGAGGGCACTTGTGATCAACACTGGGCGTTACATATAAGTGATTAATCACTAAATTTTACTCCTTAAACCAATACTACACTATGTTAACTAACTTGAATTTAAATTTTTTAAAAAAAGAAAGAAATATAACAATAAAAAAAATAAAAAAAGAAACTAAGCAGTGTGGTCCAAGATCAACGCTCCATCTTTTTCAAAAATACTCTATGATCTCTAATGGAGCTCTTTGACTTGCAGGTGACCAGTCACCTGACATACAACTTAAAATAGCCTGGAGCCTGCTCTCTCCAGTGAGGTACTCATCTGGTCCCAGGAAACATCTTTCCTAGGGCAGACACCTCTACTGTCCATGTGCACCATTCCAGTGCTCTCCAGTGCACAAATGCAAGGAACACTTTTACCTGGTGACTCCATGGAAGCCACACTCACCAGTTATGAGTGAAGAAGAGTACACGTTCACCATACCTCCCCTTCACAGCCTAGCACAGCTTTCACCAAAGAATCTCACAAACCCTCTCCTATTACTACTGGCTCCCTTCATTGCTTCATACTCCCTGAAAGAGCAAGGGATGCAAAGAACAAAACCAGCTGATTTCCTCTGTAAACCCTGCACTTTAATTTAGAATCCAACATCTATTGTGCCAGTACCTCAGTCGAGAGCAAAGAGATCCACTTTATTTCCTATCACTTACCTTTCTCACTATGATGTTTTCTTTTTCTTAATTAGAGGGAAAGAAAGCCCTGCTTAGCACTACAGTAACAGACAAGGTAAAATGAGATTTTAGGAGAGTCAAGGACATCCAGCTGGCCTCCTCAGTGTTAGCAACTCAAAGACTAAGTCAATCTCACATCATTCCCCACTGGGTCAAAAGTTAAAAGACTACAGTCTGAATATTCTTGGTGTGTGTTTGTTCCATAACCTTAACGGTCATTTTTACCAGACAGGATCTCTGAGAGGGAGCTGGAGAACTCTGCATTTTTAGAAGTTTATTTTGGTTTGTATTCTTCTTGCTGGTTTGATACTTTCTTAGTAATAAAATTCTGTCACCTTTGGAAGTTTTTCTCATTTTATTTATTTGTATATCATGCCTCCAAGTTAGAACTTTTGGGGAATATAATGATTGAGTGTAAAGGGCTGAGCTCTAATAAGTAACCAGAAACACCTCCTTCTGATATGCATAGGCCATACCCCACAGTTCTACCTTAATTGGTGGGCAATGTCTGTCTAGAGTGCTATGTCAAGGATCATGTGTCTAAACTGGAAAGAACAGCAAGATGAATTAGTGGGGGTCTGTCAATGGTGTGAGGGAAAAGTGCATGGAGAAATACCTACCACTTTTTTGTCAACCTTACTTCTATTCGATACTTAAACTGGCATTCTATGTGGTCCTAATACTTCGCTTGTTCAGAAAGTTAAATTGTCTCAACAAAATCAAAAAGCACTACAGAATCATCTGATATCAACTAAATCCCTACTATTAACAGTCTTGATGACTTACTCAACTATGTGAAATCCTCTTCTAACAGCGATCAGTCTTACAGATTAAAGACACAGCTGACAAAAAAGCAACAAAAAGGGACTCTGAGAAGCCAAACTGAGCTTCTTTATCCTTCACTCAAGTCCTGTTGTTTTATTACAGTTGGGTGGTTCCCTACCCATAATGGGAGCAGAAGTGTGAAGAAGGATTAACAGCATCAAGAAAAGATCTATGATACAATAATAGCAAGTAAAAGAAACAAGTACCAAATGCAGATACAAAACCAAATACAGCAGTTGTATGTGTTGGTGAAATGGTTGAGACTACACAGCCTCCATGGGTTTAATCGTTAAATCCTGTTCAACGTATTTATTTAAAAAACAAAACAAAACAAAATTGTATTTGTCTTTCTCTGTGTGATATAATGAAATCAAGGCGCATCCATGTTGTTGCAAAGTGACAGGATATCCTTCTTTCTCATGGTTGAATAATATTCCATTATACATATATGCACCTTCATTCATCCATTAATGAACAGTTAGGCTGTTTCCACACCTTAGCTATTGTAAATAAAGCTGCAATGAACATGGGAGTGCAAATATCTCAATATCCTGTTTTCATTTCCTTTGGAAATACACCCTGAAGTAGAATTGCTGGGTCCTATGGTAGTTCTATTTTTAACTTTTTGAGGAATCTCCATACTGTTTTCCATAATGACTGCACCAGTTTACACTCCTCTCAACAGGGTACCAGGGTTCCCTTTTCTCCACATCCTCGCCAACATCTATTATCTCTTGACCTTTTGATAACTGTCATTCTAACACAGTTGTGAGATGATATCTCAGCGTGGTTCTCATTTGCATTTTCCTGATGATTAGTGACTTTACCTTTTCATATGCCTGTTGGCCACTTACATACCTTTTTGGAAAATGTCTATTCAGCTCCTCTGCCCATTTTTTAATCAATTGGTTTTGTTTTTCTTTTTTTGCTGTTGAGTTGTATGCATTCTTTGTGTATTTTGGATATTAACCCCTTATCAAATTTGCAAATTTAGGGCGCCTGGGTGGCTCAGCTGGTTGGGCGACTGCCTTCGGCTCAGGTCATGATCCTGGAGTTCCGGGATCGAGTCCCGCATCGGGCTCCCTGCTCAGCAGGGAGTCTGTTTCTCCTTCTGACCCTCCCCCCTCTCATGCTCTCTCTATCTCATTCCCTCTCTCAAATAAATAAATAAAATCTCTAAAAAAAATTTGCAAATTTACATTAGCCCTTTATCAGATATAAGGAATATAAACCCTTTATCAGGTTTGCATAAATGTGTGAAATATAAAAAAAGTAAAACTCCTAGAAACAGCAGAAAAGTGGTTGAAGGGGCTAGAGGGTGGAGGAAATAAGAAGAGGTTGGTAAAAGGGTACAAACTTTCAGCCATAAGATGAATAAAGTCTTGAAGGACCAAATGTAAAACATAACTATAGTTGGTAACACAGTATTATATCACTGAAATTTGCTAAAAGAGTAGAACTTAAATGTCCTCACAAAAAAGCAAGAGGAAATGAAAGGAAAGGAAAGGAAAGGAAAGGAAAGGAAAGGAAAGGAAAGGAATACGTGAGGTATTGGAGGTGTTAGATGTGTTAGTTAACTAGATGGTAGGAACCCTTTCACAGTGTATACATTTATCAAATCACCAAGATGTACACTTTAAGTATCTTACAAATTTATCTGTCAATTATGCCTCAAGAAAGCTGAAAATATGTAAAACACACACACTCAAAACAAAACAAAAAAACCTGGATATACACAGCATATATGAAAAAGGTCATACATATCCTAAACAGTAAAAATGCTTAAACTGG